AAAAAAAAAAAGATGCAGGTAAATGAGACGGAAAAGAAAAGGTAGATTTGGGCTTCAGAGAGCAAATTCCAACTCCCAACTCCTTTGGTAATGACTATGTGGTCTTAGGTATGTGATGGGAGCTCTTTCTTTGGAGTCAGTTGTCCTATCTATAATCATGATGATCAGGCCTCACTAGGGGATTTAGTTCTTTAATAGCAAGGAAAAAGCAGCCGCCATTTACTCAGCAGTTACTACCGACCAAACTTTTCCATGTGCTTCACATGCAATTAATTACTTGATCCACACATCAGCCCTATGAGGTGGATATTATCTATATTTTATAGTTCAGTAAACTGAGGCAGAGGCTATGGAGCACACTCAGTCACAGTGCTGCCCTAGCACCACCACCACCTCCACAATACTACCCAGAGGCCAGTCCCTGCTCAGACAAAAAGCCTTCCTTCAACAAGACTTCAGGGGTCCCAGATGCCAAAGCCACCCTCATCCCTTCCCCCTAATAAGTAGCACTGGGCCTACAACGTAATAGAGTAGTGGGAGGAACAATTTTAACACAAAAGACTGCTGTTGCTACATCTAGGGGGAGTATTACCCTTTTTAAGACTTTATTAATAAGTGTCCGATGTCACTGGCACTACCAAGTGTGCAGTCTTCACCGTGTTGACCAATAACTCTCATCTTCATGTCACCTAACGCATAGGAAGAGCTTATTGCCTGCCAGGTACCAGGCAGAGCATTTCAACTAGATCTGGCCGTTGAACTTCAACAACCTTTTAGATGAGAGGGAAAACTCTAAGAGCTTAAGTCACCTGCTCCAAGTCACATGGCAACATGCCAAACCCTGGAAAAAGGCCTATGTGGCTTGGCATCCATAGCTCAGTGGTTAGGGCACAGGCTACATCCCCCAGGGCTGGTGGGTACTAACCCAGCCCAGATGCTAAACAGTGACAACAAAAAAAATAGCCAAGCTTTGTGGCGGTCACCTGTAGTCCCAGCTACTTGGGAGGCAGAGGCAAGAGAATCACTTAAGCCCAGTTTGAGGTTGCTGTGAGCTGTGACACGACAGCACTCTACCAAGGGCAACATAGTGAGACTGTCTCCAAAAAAGGCCTTTCTGAGAATCAAACTCCAACCTCTTCCCCCAGCTCAGGTGTCCACAGTACTCTCTACTTGCCCCATATCATGCAGCCTGGCTCCAACTTGAGAAAACACAGCAAGAATTACCACCCCACAGCCTGCCCCCTCAAAGCAGGCCAAGATACCCAAAAGCCCCCTCACCTGGAGGGCTAGTCCATCTCCTCTTTTGGGGTTTCGAGGCCCCAGCTGTTTATTCTGCTTCATCCTGTCCTGGCATTTGGTGCCACACTGTACACAAGACAGCTTAATTGGGCAGCCCAAGCTCCTGGAGCCTCAGAACCTCAAGAGTACAGTCCCAGGTTGCTAATTGCTGCTCATCTCACCATGGTAACAAACACCAGGGCTCTTCTAGCCCAGCAGCACCTTCAGTGACATTTTCTCATCCTTTCAAATCCTCCTTTGCTCTGGCCATGACTTTAATCCATGGCATAAATTCAATATGTCCAGAGGTGCAAGTCTGATTGATGCCCAACTGATGAATCCTACCTATACCCCTTACTCTACCTATGCTACCTAACCATTAACCTCTGCAAAGGCATCAAGTTTTCATCAGCTGCTTTTTGCCTTTGGCATGATGGGCTTAGGACTTTTGCCTAGATAGTCCCAGGTAAACTGAGGTGGAACTATTGGAGGGAGGTGCAATATTAGGCTGAGTAAGTGCTCAATGAACAGCAGGATTTTAGCCTCGGTGTGAGGACATGCTCTCTGCTGAGGACAAGGGGCTAAGGCTGGGGGCTAAGAGCCACTTCCAACAAGTCCCCTCACTGAATGTGGCTGGCCTGCAATGACAGCCTGGGAGCTATGAAATAAGGTGCAGAAGGATCCCAGAGAATCATGAGGAACTGTGAGAATCAGCCCCGAGATTCTTTTTACTTCAGTAATTATCACCTGGATAACTCCCCAAGGACTGGAAGGCACAAAGTCTGGGAGTCAGACATTGCCTCTAAATGAATTCAAACAAATACCCATTCACCAGCCTAGTGTAGTCCATTGACCAGCAGCATTCAAAGTCCAGGGTGCACCCTAGACTTTCTGAATCAGAAAAATTCAGAGGTTGGGCCTGGCAATCACAGACTTAACAACTCCTCCTGGGGATGCTGGAGTTTGAGGACCAGTGCACTGGACCATAAGTTCCATATCTAAAGGGTCAACAAGGTATTCCCACACTGTGCTTGAATGAATGAATCACATACTTTCAACCAACCACCCTTACACTCTAGCCAGGCCCTCCCCCACCCCCCTTCCTCATCTGACCTGCAAAAGCAAACGGACACCAGACTGTTATAGAGAAATACTGATTTTAATTAAACAGAAGGTAAACTCTAGACGTCCGTCATCTTTCGGCCTAAAAATTAGCAAAAACTGTTGAAACAAGGCACGGTTTTTCCCCCATACTTGTTACATCGTGGCTCCAGTTACAAAAAAAAAAAAAAACTTTAATGAAAATGTTAAACATAAAAATAGAACCTTGAGACTTTAAAAAAAAGTGTATAAAAAGCCCCACAAAACTTGTCAGATGTTGTTACAAAATAGCACCAGTAAGAAGAGTAAAAGGTGTTAAAAACCATTCTGACAGCATTTCTGAAATGCAGCTTGTCTGAACTCCCATTCCCACTAAAAAACGATTTATCGTGGAATAAAAAAGAATTTTAAAATCTGGAGAGGGAGGGAGGATTGAGCTTTTATTGCAGTTTCCCAGCTGCCATCTCTAAGATGAGGGAGGAGGTGTGGGAAATGTGCTTCTGCCCCTGGCTTGCTTCCCTGCCTCTGAGTCTAGAAAAGGGTGAGGAATTAGGGTGATATACTTCTAACCTGGGGACCTGTGCCTGGAGGCATTGGGGGGTCTTTATCTACGCTCCCTCCGTCACACCCCTCGCATAAGGAAGAGGGAGATACAGAGGAGCCATACTCCTACAGAGCATATGGCAGCTTATATCATATAACTCAGCACACCCCTTCCTGAGCTTCCTGGAGGGCTCTATTGCAGTCACCGGGAGGGATTCAGCTAAGGGAGGTCCCTGCCCTTGGGGTTGTGGGAAAAAATAGCCCTGAATGCAATGATGATGTCATCCCTGCTGAAATCACCATCATTGTGGAAAATATTCTAATTGGCCCCCAACAGCAGACTCCAGCCCTTGTACTGAGGCAAGGGAAATGTGCTGGGTTAAAAATTCAAGAAAGACATATACATCATTTCCTCTTCTGCTAGCCCTACAAAAAACATACCCTGGGCCCTTAAAAATGTCTCTTAGCTACACATCTACCACTGTACACACTTGCAAATGTGGAGCAGCAGATATTTAAAATAGGGAAGTTTTGTATTAACTGTCTTGGATGATTTTTCAGCATTAACCTGAGTATTAGAGAGCTGTCAGCACTGTGGTTTTGGTTATCTTAGCCATAGTTTCTCTGAGTGGTAAATCCAGGAGGGGGAAAAAAAGCTATTTTACTACCTACTTCAAGTTTTAAAGTTTAAGGAGAAGAAAAATGAGCACCGTGTTTAGCTGCTCCGAGCAGCCAGGACAGAATTGTGCACAAGGAGGCAGCACCTCGGGGACCCCTGCAAGAGACAGGTGGCTCTGCTCCTACTGAGCAGGAGAGAACTGAGGTACATAGGACGACCCGCATAGCTGAGCTGAGGAAGGGCAGAGAGCCTAGGGGTGCATTGAGCAATTGCATCTCCTGGGTCTTGGCTCTGCCACTGGTCCCAGAGCCCCAGCACCTGGGTTTAACTATTCACATGCAAAGTAGTCCTTCAGGGGGGCGAAGAGGTGTCGGATCACAGGCACACTCCAGGACCTCCCAAGCAGCTTCTGGCGGGCACCTCGGCCCATGTTGGACACATCTGTGTAGTGTACAGGAAAGCCGAAGATCCTGGGGGGCACCAGGGTAAAAAGACAGTGAGTCAAAAGCGACGTTCTGGAAGGCTTGGAGCCTCTGTGAAATCCTCACCTATGACAAGAGGTCCCACACTTCCTGCCCCTGACCTTCCCTAGTCCCATCCCTCAATCAGGAAACCTAGGCCTTCAAATGAGCACTTTCTTAAGCCACAGAAGGTCCAGGTCCATGGGTTGCTCATGAATGACTGCCATGAGGGCACAGCTGGTACATGGGGGCACCTGTTTTAAGCTTCCCTAGAACGAGAACTATGCTACTGGCACATAGTTGGTGCTCAGGTGACCTTTCTTAAATGAAGGAATGAATGAATGCCAAGACAGCCAGCAAACAGATTTGTTTCTGTCTTCAAAACAAAATTAAGATCACTCTCAAAAGAGACTAGGGTTTGAATTATCACAGACTCGGGTGACTTTAAATACAACTCAGCATCCTGAGTTTTCTTCCCCTCTTCAAACCCAATTGATGGATTAAGAATCATGCTGGACTCCAGGCAGATGGCACCAAATATCCCAAGAGTCTTCTCTGCAAGATTCTATGAGGCCTGGAAAGAGACTACAGATATGCTGAGCCTCAAGATTACCCAAGTTTACAATCCAATACAAAGACACAGTGGCAAAGATACAACACCTCAAGCCTGTGTCTTGCTTTGCCTTGGCATCTTCGTAACGATAGCCAACAGCACCAACTGTAGTATCACAGTTCCAGCCCAGCACATCATGCATGGGTCTCAAAATACAGAATAATCCACAGTATGAATAGATTGGGCAAGGTTACCCACCAGTTTTTCTTTCTACTAATCAGAAGTTACTTTCATATCAAGAAAACTATTGTTAATGTCAAAGAAGAAATAATATCAGTTGTAGAACAGAAAGGTTTAGAATGAAAATGCTCTGTAAAAAGCCTTCAAATGCTTTTTACAGGAAGTACAGACAACCAATATTTTTAAATGCTATGAGGACAATACATAGCCTAAAACTATATTCCTAGCAAATAACTTTTAAAAAGAAAATAAATCATAACTTTAAAAATGGTAAGAAAAATAAAAATTTAAAAATAGTAAGGAAAACAAACAGGAAAGAAAAAATAGAACTGAAGCCCAAAAGATGGTCCTTTGCATCAAAATAGACAAATTTGCCAAATAAAAGGAGGATAGACCATGACTAAGTAGGGATCATGCTAAAGAAGAAGTTGGCAGAAGAAGGGCATGTTTGTAGTTTTCTTTAGCTGGTTCACCACACATCCTAGTGTCACAGCATGTTGGGACAAGCAGACATCAGGGCAGTCCAGCCAGATGTGGCCATCTAATGACCTCATGTCTCACCTTCCTCACCACCACCCCCTACGCCATTTCTGCCAGGAAATATGACTGAGTGAAAATTATCTAAAAAGTATTGCTGCCATCCTGGCTGAGGTAGGAAGGAGAGCAATTGAGGATTAAATTGAAGAACTAAGACAAGTGCCTGCCCATTTGTGCTGCTGGCCTGAAGCCGATGTTCTTCCCTTTTCTCTTTTTGTCTGCACCGCTTCCCTCTCCAAGTGCAGCCTTGCTCACCTTTCGAGCTCAGTGCACCACAAAACATCTTCTTTGCCATTCATGACAACAGGGAAAAGTTGGTTTTTCCCCTGTCTGATCGAGTTCGACTTGGTGGTTATTGTCTGTACTTTCTTTAACTGGAGAACAAAATGGACATCATGGAGTGAGCATAGAATGAAGGGTTCTGGGTGGAGTAAGGGCTCGAAAGCACCTAGGAGAGAGGGAGGAGAGAGAGAGCAGACATGGACAGAGGGTGGCAGAAGGAATGAGAAGAGTTGAAGAGACAAGAACATTTTGTGCTTCCCACAAATGCCAAGAAGTTAACAGGAAGGACCAGTCTCAGAATGAGATAACAAAAAGTAACCACAAGTGAAATCACATGGGGGCTAAAAAGACACCAGAGTTACTGATCAAGCAAGATTAAGTAAAAACCACCCAGATACAGAGAATGGCTAAAAATAGAGTTTAGACAAATGGATCACTGCTTGATGCAAACATTGAAAATTAGGTTTATGGAGATAAATATCTATGATTTAACAGAGAATTTTTTGGCAAAAGCATTAAATACTCCTTTCTTATGGAGAAGGTCAGCTGAAATTCTCTACATTATCAAGCATTAACATTGGAAAGCCTCGTTGCCTTTTCTCATAATGACTATTATCAAAAGACTCCTACCCTCTGTACTTGAAGATTGGACAGAACAATTACGTGGGGAAAGAGGCCCAGCACCAGGAATTCATGTGAGGGGAAAAGCAGGAACCAAGTAGACACCAAGGTCATCTCCCAAGTCCCCACTTGGAGGTCACCAAGTGCATTTTACAGAGGGTCACAGCATAGGTCATTTGTGCACATGTCTTACCTTTGCTGTCCTATTGTATTCCAAGCAGTCTTGAAGCTCGAGTTTATCATTCTTTGATGCTATCACCGGCCTGGGAACAGCCAAAACCCATTACTTTCTACCGCCTGTAGAGGGTCATTGGCTAGGCACCTCACAGGTGGGAGTGAGGTGTGCCCTGGCAGTGAACTTGCTACATAACCAAAATAACCCTGGCATGAGCACAAGTCTGCATGCCAAAGCCAGGGATGGACTAGTTTTTAAAGGGGACAGACCACAACAGCCTGGAGGTAAAGTTCCCCCTTCCTGACTTTCACAACTGGTCAAAGGCAGCCACCAACCAATGCTGCTGAAAACTCTGGACAGGGAATCAGGAGACTCCTCAAGTACCAGCCCCACTGCTCACTGGCTAAGTGACTGTGAGCAAGTCACCAGCCTTTGGACTTAGTATCTATACTAAAGTGAGGAACTTAAATCTTTATAGTCTATTTGATACAACCAGCACACCCACTATTTGGTGGCCCACTGCTAGGGATGCAGCCTACAGGGGCTTTAAAGTAGTGGATTTTTTTTGGAGATAGTCTCACTCTATTGCCCAGGCTAGAGTGCTGTGGCTTCAGCCTAGATCACAGCAACCTCAAACTCCTCCCTCTCCCAAGTAGCTGGGACTACAGACACCTGCCCCGTTGCCCTGCTAGTTCATTTATTTTAATAGAGAAGGGGATCCCTCCCACCTCAGTCTCCCAGAGTGCTAGGATTACCAGCATTAGCTACCATGCCCAGGCAGTACTGGGTATTTTCATTAGAAAGGACAGGAATTGGTTCACAAAACCTGCATTTTTTAATAGCTTTTTTAAATTGCCTTATTAACTTTCACCCTTGAAATCTATTTTGCAAATGCAGAGAGGCAAAGAGAGAGGCCTAAGGAGGGGAAGGGACAGAACTGAAAGTATTTGAGCAGCTCCAGAGCAGACACCAGTGGAAGAGGCCTGAATACAGAGCTGATGACAGTAAACCCCGGGTTTAGGCATGTCAAGGCCAAATAGAACTCAGATGTGAGAATGAAAATAGTGCCCACAAGAGGGGCTAGGAACCACACAAAATATTTCCCTAGACTGTTGGCTTTCCTTGGCCTCACATGCCAGATTTCAAATGCCACCCCATCTAGCACCATCCCAACTGCCTCTATGGACCCAAGGGAGTGGAGGAACCAGGGGGGAATAAAAGACAGCATAGGCCTGCTTTGTGCTGATACTAAGATTAAGATTCAAAACAAAACAGATGATTTCGGACACTGTCCTCTGGCAGATACTTGACACACTGACCCTGAGCCTCTATAGCTCAGTCCCAGCCCTGTGCCTCAGTCTTCCTACTAAGCCACAGGATTGCTGTGCTGCAGATCCCAGATGCTACTACCCATGTGTCCAGCCATCTCACTTGTCTCCCCATTTCTGCCCTTGTCTGTCTTTAGTCTATTCTCCACCCAGAAGCTACCATAAACCTGAGACACTAGTCATCTCATCTGCTTAAACCCCCTGTAATTTCCCATGCCAAACAGAAGTGGTATCACATGTAAGGCCCATGTTATTTGGCCCAATGCCTACAGTTCTCCATCCTTCTCTCACAGCCTCTCCAACCTCCCTTAACCAATTTCCTTCAGCATGGAGTGTGCTCTAATAACTGTACAGATCCATTTCTTCACTTAGGACCCTGTTGGAATGAGAACCCTTCCCAATCAACCCTTCCCCAGTGGCCCCCCTCGAGCAATGAACCACAAATCATTAACTGTTTTCTACACTATTAACATGTCGACCCCATGAGAACCAAAAATGGTATTAATGTGCCACTAAAATGGCATCACTATAACAGGGCCCTGCAGATTGAGCTCAAATGTTGAGTGGATAAGACCATTTAATTCCAAAGTAATAGCCAAATAAAAATGCAGGCTAGCCAGTGGAAATCCTCAGTTATCCCAGAACCCTCTTACCTCTGTTCATACTTTGGTAACTGCCAGAAAGTTATTATGTTTCCAACATTTCCTTTTAAAGGAGAATGTTTTAAGCTTATTTCATTTGTAAGTCTGGGATGTCATAGCACCATCATATTTTGCACATAAATTAACAAGGTGCTCTTCTTAAAACCACCTGTATAGGAGATTAATCTTCAGCAAATCCATCTGTCTAAAGAAGACTGAGCTAACTTTGATATGTAATAAAAGATGGGAAATGTTCTTGATTATGAAAATCTGAGAAAAGATAGGGTATAGATACTAGATCTGGCTCCAACATATGGGACTTAAAAGATCAGGCCCATCTCTAGCTTGAGCAAGTCAGAATAGAAATGAAGAGTCCTTCTGAGATTTCCAGGTATTTCCTGCACAACTTAACAGGGATCACCCACAATCTATATGATGGTCCGAGACCCAGGGTGAGGCTGCTTTTCAGCATAGTCAGCTCTTTCTAGAAAGGTCAAACATCAAAGCTGACATCATTAAATATATCACTTGGCTGCTACCTGCCCCACTCAGAGCCCCTTGTTACCTGTTCATCCCAGGAAGGTTGCCCCAGAAATATCGTGCCCTGTGAGCAGCAGATACTTTTATGGCATCAATCATCACTGGATTGCACTGCAAGGAGAGAATGGAGCTGTTAGGATCCCACACTAGAATTCAGGTGTCCATCACGGGGGGCGGGGGTGATCTGTGCATGTGACGTGGACGCCCATGACTATGGAAGACATATGGATTCTCTAAGCCAGGGGACTAAACTTGCCATTAAGAACCTGGCTTGAGGACAGAATGAATGCCTCCATAATGATGAGGATGGGTAAAGAGGTAAGATCACACCTGCAGGTTCTAGGAGAAGGCATCTCTCCTGGAACATGCCAGATTAATAAACACAACATGCAGAGCTGGTCAAAATTTGTGAAGTTAAATTAACCCCCTGGTTGTGAGATTGTAATGTGGGCCATATCAGGCTCCTACCACCCAGCTGCCATGTTTAAAGCATGAGGGGAGTAGCCAGTTATAAAGCCTGAGACAGGACTTAAGCTTTTGGCTTTTGGAGAAAATTAAATGAGTTAAGAGTACAAAATTATTTACTGTGGTGCTTGATGCATATTGAGCAGTGAATAATTATCTTTCCTGTGACACCTAAAACAGTTCTCATAAGAATGAGAAAAAACATCTGTAGAGTTAAAGTCAAATCAAATCTCATGAGTCCTGGACAGAAGCAGAGGATGATTTTATCATTTGCTGCTTCCAGTGGGTTGGGGTGATATTGGAAATCAAGTATGTTCCATGTTCTAAGAGAGAGAACCCACTAAATCCCCCACTATGGGATGGAACCAGGAAATCACTCCCAACATTACCAATACCTATCAACGTATCAACCATTGCCGGCAAGGGTTTCCCTGCTCAGGTTGTCTGCAAATTAGGCCTCTAGGTCCTCACCTCCAAGAACCGAGAGATGTCCCTCTTGTCTCCGACCTTCATGGCTACTACATTCTCAAACATCCAGAAGAATGGTCGGTCATCACCCTCCTTGGGGCGCGAGTAATTCAGCAGGTGGTAGAACTCAAAGAAGAGCCGACCTGTCCCCTCTGCACCCACGAAAGATGACAGAGAAGGGTTCATTCAAAAACATCCAGCCCAATCCGCCATATTCTCTGAGACAAACAGGTTCCTCGTGACCTCCTGGCATAACTGTCAATGCCTAACTTTCTATGTCCACCCCAAGTCCTCTGGGATGACTAAGCAAGGATACAAGCAGCAGCAACAGCAGCAGCACCACCACCACTTTTATTAGCATCTTCCCTCCCTCTATGGACTGAGGACTGCAATGGAGCAGACGGGGAAGCAACATGCCCTGAGGATCCCGGTAAACTGGCCAGAGGCAAACAACTCCTTCTCAGGGCCCTCCACCTGGACCAGCATTATTCAGATGACAAAGGCTCCCTGACGGCCACCAGAAAATAGAGTGCTCACCATACAAGCCTTTCCTAGCAGGATTCACATTTGAGAGATCATTGCATGGGCTTCCACCAATCACCAAGTCAAATGGGCCCCATTCTTCAATCTGAGGAAGAAGAAACAGGCTGAGGAAGGGAAGAAGGTGTGGAAGGGGAAGCAAGGGACGAAAGCCTGGATTCCCAGATAACCTGACATGAAAGACCCACTTCTTGAAACTCGGTTGGTCAACTCCACTTCTGAACCTAAAAAACCTAATGCTCAGGATTCCCTAAAATTATATAACTCTTTTTTTTTTTTTTTTAAGAAGAGTGTTAAGATTACAGGCCCAGCCCTTTTTTTGTTTCTGGAGAGATTCTCACTTGGTCACCCTTGGTAGAGTGCTGTAGCGTCATAGCTCACAGCAATCTCCAACTCTTGGGCTCAAGCAATTTTCTCTCCTCAGCCTCCCAAGTAGTTTGAACTATAGGTGCCCACAACAACGCCCAGCTATTTTTAGAGATAGGAGTCTCTCTCTGGCTCAGGCTGGTCTCAAACCTGTGAGCTCAGGGTAATCCACCTGCCTCGGCCCCTCCAAGCAGAGTGCTAGGGTGCCATTGCACCAAGCTTTTTTTAAAAAATGTAGACAAAGTCTTACTCGGTTGCCCACGCTAGCATTCCCTGGTACCAGCCTAGCTCACAGCAACCTCACAAACTCCTAGATTTAAGTGATCCTCCTGTCTCAGTCTCTGGAATAGCTGGGATATCCGGCTAGTTTTTGTATTTTTAGTAGAAACAAAGTCTCCATCCTGCTTAAGCTGGTCTGGAATTCCCAGAGTACTAAGAATTACACAGGCATGAGCCACTGTGCACAGCCTAAGACTGCAATTTCTAAGCTGTGGGTCTCCCCACCACTACAACTTAACCAGACCACACACAGCTTGTCTCCCTCCATAACAGCCTGGGCCCTGGGGAGGGGGCTGAAGTCGCATTTGGGTGTGTGAGGGGATGGAGAAGTAGAGAGAGCAGGAGGAGGAGATGACCCAAGGTACAGAAGGCTCTCACATTTTTCTTAGTGATGTTTCTCACGTCGTTCACATATTTGATATTCCCCTCATGCTTAACGGTTCCAACAGCAATGGACTCTTCACACACTTCAGAGGCAACATACTTTTCCACCTTTATGCCCAATTCTTTGAGGACCAAGTAGCCTGTGGGGGGCCAGAAGACACACAAAAGCACAGCACAAGTGATCTGAGTGCAGAGCAGCGGCTTTTCAGCGCTTCCTGCTCAGGGAAAATGAGGATATTCCTTATAAGCACATCACAGGGCAGCTTAGAGGACTGAATGGATTAAGTCAGGCAAAGCCCTTCCGGGTGCCCCGCACACTGGTTGTGCTAACTCTATGTACAGAGAGCAGAAGGGAATTGTTACCTAATTGATCTCAAATACATTCATACACGTGGAATGAAAATTGATTTTAAGATACCTGCAGGTAGTAAAAAACAAAATATAACAGCAATGACATACATCCTTGTCAGGTGGGTGGCAAGGTGAATGAAATGAAACACGGAGCCAGTGGTTTTTAAAACAGATACAAACAGGCAACCTTTGTCTTTCCTGACATTGATGTCAGATACCTAGACACTGAGCCCCTTCCTGGGCTGCCCCGCTGTGGTGCCACAGCAAAGCACGCCTTCCAAACTCACCTGTTGCGATTCCATCAAACAGAGACAGAACTCGAATAGGCCGCCTTCGGGCTGCAGGAATCGCAGGGTACAGCTTGGGGGCTTCCTGCCAGGTGAGGAAGGAGGTCAGGGAGGAGACGGAGGTGGCCTGACCATTCTCAGAGGTACTCAAACCCTGGCTGTGGCCACCATAGGAGCTTAACTGGGGACTAGAATTTGTACAGAAGGGCCTTCTGTCCTAAGGCATGAGCCAGAGATGATCACACAGAGACAGATGGTACACATAAAAAGATAGCACCCTAGATAAGAATTACCTCGAGCTTCCCTCTAGAGTAGAAAGTTCATTCCTATTCCCTTCATGCTCAGCTCTGCCTTCACAGAAGGCTACCATCATTTCCACACTGGACCCTGCAAGCCCATGTACTGAGAGGCCAGGAAGAAGGGGAGAAATGCTGGCAGGCCTGATAACTGTACTGGGCTGGGCGGGGGTGGTGGTGGTGTCAATTAGCCAGGTCTCTCAGCCTTGAAGGGCCCCAGAGACTCCTTTGGTATAATCAAGCTTTTCTCCCATTACTCCTGCTATTATTAAGAATTCCCCAGGGTTCACTGCCCCTGGGCTGCTAGAGGCAGGAGCCTGTGGCTTACATATTCATGCCCCATGTCGCTGGTGAAGAAAGCCTGCAGGCGCATGTTCCAGTCCTTCCGGCGCCGCAAGATGCCGTGACAGCGCTGTGGCAGACACATGTAGCAGCTCCAGGGCTCCTGGAGCTTGGCCTCCGCTGCTGTGCCGGGGCCTACCAGCACCTCCAAGCACTCCACGCAGAAGCACCTGTGCCAGAGGCAAGGGAGAAGCAATGATGTCTTTGTCACCAGCAGGTTTCATGTGTTGCCCTTCCCTTAATTCCCCAGGAGATAGGAACCCACTACACATAACCTGCTGGGGGCCTACAAGGCCCTAAATGATATATGCTACACTAACCTCTTTATCAGACACTCACAACCCTTAATTCTACAGGCTCCTCTCACAGAAATGCCACCTGACCACCTCAGTTTCTGTAAACTGGATTTCAAGCCAAGTGGCAAGCTTCCAGGGCAGGAGCCTTCCCTGACACCCTACTGTTCCTTTTACTGGCAAACATACCTATCAAAACCCTTCCCTGGACACCTGTTTTACCTTCTACGTGATGTGACACCCACATGCTGCCTGCCGGACCCCATGCCAGGTGTTCCATTACACACAGTCAGCTGTCTCCAGACCATCGGATTCACACAGTGCAGCATGGCCACTCTAGAGCCCACCCATGCCCTTGCCCTCGCATGGCCCAGTGCTCACCGACAGCAGCTTGTGTTACTGCAGAGCAGCAGCTCGTAGCCCTCACAGCACACGGTGCAGTAAGACTGATAGCCATCGTCGTCGTACATGTAGAACAACTCCAAGAACCGATCCTGGCAGTCAGAAAGAAACACTCATGAAATTGGAAACCAGACACAGCCAGGCCCTGCTGGCTGGCTGGCTGCGGCCCTAGGATGCTGCCGCAGAACAAGCTGCTTGTGGCTTAGTGTCTTTTACGGGGACAACTTTGGTCTGTGTGCTGCTGTCCTCTGCCATGGCAACCCCCACCAGAGGAAAGGTGGGAAGCATGCAAGAGGGCTTCACTGCTCTCAGCACATAAATGCTGGTGTCTACACAATGGATCTTTGTGGCAAGATGTTTGTGGAGGAAGGAAGGTGCAGAATGTCCAGGGCAGGGGGGATGGGGAAGAGGACTTACCCTGCATGTCTTACAGAGCCCCCCCTCAAAGAGAGGGTGGAATGACACGGAGTTCTTCTTGCCACAAGACAGGCAGCTGTCTGTAAGAAACAGAGGGTCATGACTTGTGAGCAACTGAGGCCCTAACAGCAGCTGCTGAAGCCTGGGGTCTCCTGAGTCTTGAGCATTTTCTACAAGCCAGAACTGTGCTAAGGACTCTTCCAACCCCCTTTCCTCCCAATTTGCGCTCCTCTGCGATGTTCCAAAGTTGCTGTCCGCACCTGGGAAAAGTCAAGACCAAGTGCTGCCCCAGTAGAAGATATGAAGCAGAACTCTGACTAGGGGGTCACTCCAGCAGAGAACAGGCTTTGAGGGCCTAGTTTGAAAATTCCAGGACACCAGGGAATTAATCATAATAGGACTTGCTTGCGGCTGCATCCTACTAAGAGCACAGGGGCACAATTTCAGAAGCTAGGTCTTTCAAGTAGTGGTCTTTAACTACCTGCCTCCGTATCACCAGGCCAGGACAGATATATATCACTGACCAGGTGGACAGAACCTTTCAATGCCTAAGAGCAAGCCAGGAAGGAGAAATAGGTAGGTGAGCAAATGGGTAGGGGGATAAAATTGCCAGTGTTTGTTTTCAAGAATACTCTAAACCCAAGCTTTCCCCAGGGTTCTCTGGGTCAGGGCTATCTTTGTTTTCCTACCTGGCATTGAGTAACCACTCAAATATTTGTTGACTAATGGATATCAGGGTGAAGGAAGGAGAATTGATCTTCGCAAACTCTGAATTCCATTAGGTATGTTCTGGGCAAAGGATCAGACCAATTGGCAATCCTCAGCCGGGACGAGTAGACTGGGCTTATCTTGACAATGGCTAAGTGTGCTGACATTCAAGTCAAAGCTAGTTGTAGGCCTTCTTTGAGGGAGGTTTGAGATGCCACCCATCTGGTTTGAGGTATGGTTCTCCCACCCAAAGTACCCCAGGTTCAGTTGACCCTACTTCCTACTCACTTCTTCTAGGGACACAATCAGTCTTAGTGAAAATCAGGCAAGTAGGCTCGGCGCCTATAGCTCAACCGGCTAGGGCGCCAGCCACATACACCTAAGGTGGCGGGTTC